TCAAGCTAAAACAACACTAGATGGATACATTAATGAAGCAGCAGCAGAAAGCAGGTAGCAGTGGCAGTAATACAAGGCATACAAGAAAGATGAATAAATGAGACAGAGCATGAGAGTGCTGACCTCCAGTGGTGACTGTGCCAGAGCCAGTTCTGTTTGCAAGGATCCCGAGCTGCTCTGGTTCATCCGATAAGCCACTGACAAAGAAAGACTAGCCCTGCAAGAGACAGGAGAAAGGGAATTGATGTTCAAGTTAAGAAAAGGACACTTAATAGAAAAAGTGACGATGAATCTATGTGCACACAAAATAAAACTTTTCAGTCCATTTTGTCTTAGTTGTCCCTCAATCCTCAGTCTAAACATTTAAACTCAAATTTCTATTTTCAGGTGATTTGTGGTTCACTCACCCAGCCACGTCTGGGAGAATCATCTGCATCTGCCTCTCCAGCTTGTTCTTGTCCACCCTCAGCAGCTGCAGTCAACAACAGATAACGCAATCATGAGTCATCCCAACCCATTAGATAGTTAAAGGCCGTCCGTGCAGTCTACCCTTTCTACACTACAATAAACATGCCGGCCATGAGGCGCGTGTTTGGATAGAGGGCAGGTGATTTCATTCCCACATCTGAACCCAACACACCAAACTGCTAGCGTGTTACTGATGACTAATACAGAGGACAGGAATATGTCGCTAAAGGCTTTTTGTCTTCAGTGACATATTTCTGTCTATAAATAACAAAAAAATAATAATAATAATAATCAAGCAGGGTAGAAACTCAAGAGCTGATAGGATGTTGAGCACACCAACCTCTGTAATGGAAGAGTATTCCTCCACTGCTGCCTTCAGCTCATCTATCTGTCTGCTTTTCTGTATAAGAATGCAAATGACACAAAATGTGGGAGTTTTTTGAAGAAAACAACAACAAAAAACACTCGTTTTATATCATTATGCAAGATTCTAAAGATCATCAGCAACAGAAAAATAAAAATTCAACAAGATTAGGTACTGACCTCTACTATCACTGCATCCTTTTCACTAATGACTGTGTCAAAAGAGTGAATCTGCATCTGAGGACAAGAAAAGAGCAGTTACATAATATAAAGAAAGCACAGCAAGTTAAACATGGCAGAGACAGAAATTCAATGAGCGCTGCAGATATCATCAAATACAGAACTGAGGGCATATTTGAGTGAAGCACAGAGAGAGATAAAATAACAGTTCAAAATATAAAAGTATATTTTACAGTAAAGGTACCTGAAGGTCAGCGTTAATGTCACACAGCTCCGTTATTCTCCTCTGAAGCTCATCTGTCTCCATAGTGACCTTAAAGTTCTGAGGAACCATCAGAGGGGAGTTAGAGCAGCTGGACACATCCTTTCATGAACAAACTTGTGACATTATACTACGCGAGAGGGCTAGGAATTGCTGAGTGCTACTGGTGTGCGTGCAGTAAGGTCATTCATTTCACTGTGAACTGTGCTATAATGGTCACCTCTTCCTGAAGAGAAGCAATCTTAGCGATGAGACTCTGGTTTTCTCTCTCCTGAATAAAAAAAAATCAATATAATAAACATTAAAAAGACATAGGCCATTATTGCGTTTGGCTCTGCTATATATTCTGAGTGTTTGCCCTAAACTACAGATTACTATTATAAATGCGTCCTCACAAGTTATGGTACATACTGTATACAAACCTGCACATAGCAAATAAATCTTATCATCCAATCAGAAAAGATCTCATTCTGAATATTAACACCAGCTGTCCATATTTCAACCACCTGTTTGCTAAAGAGAAACTGATTTCAAATAAGACATTTAAAAAGGTCTCAAACAAGAAAGTGCTCAGTTTAAAACGAAAGAAAAAACTCACAAGTTTCATAAAAGTACCATAACTGACTGAAAACTGCTGCAAGGCAACGGAAAAGAAAAAAATAAGACTGTTCTATTTCAACACTTTTGACTCACCACATGTTTGCTGTGTGCGGAGGCACGAGCTCTGCCTTCCTCCGTACAGCTCAGAGTGGCCTTCATCTCTTCCACCTCCTCCTTCAACATCTTCTCCTTCTGTGCCAGCTGCTGGTTACTGTCAAAGACGACAAGTACAAATCGACATTACTACTGTGACTGCTCTAATACCGTGTCTGTGTTCTGTATGTTTACATGCGCATAAAAGCATCTTACATTTTTGCTTGATTGTGTAGCTCCTCGTTTTCCTCCGCAAGCTTCTGGTTACTCTCCTCCATGCTCTCCACCACCTGCTTGAGCTTTTTTACCTCCTCCTGCAGCTTTTGGTTGCTCATCTGGAGGTCAGCAACACAGTACACCAGCTCTGATGTTTCACTGAGGAAGAAAACACACAAATACACACAT